GCAGAAACAGTCGGAGCTGTGTGCTGCCATTGCACGTGTTTGTGTGTGTGTGTGTGTGTGTATGTGTGTTTGTGATGAATGGAATTCCGCGTCGGTTTGCAATTGTAAAACAAGGCTGTGTGTAGAAAAAAAAATCTGAAATTGCATTTAGGAGTGACTCAATACTGGCTGGCCATATTCGGGCGGAGTTGGAAATTGATTTCTGGCCCAAATACTTCACTCCACAACCGGCCCTCATCTGGTTTGCCAGAGTCAAGCCAGTGCCTCCTTTGCCACGCCTGGGCCGTGTTCGGCCCACATGCGTTATGCCATTGCCGACACCAGGCCAGCTGTGCCGGCTTCATGCCGAAGCCGGGCCAGATGCCTTTGCTGACTGGGTTCCTTGTTATTTGACCAAGGCAGAGTGATTGAAAATATCAATTGCTTGAATGATTTTCGCGTTCTTCTCTCTCCCCCTTGTCTCAATATGTGAAGTGTCAGTCAACAAAATGATATTACGTTACGCTGTGGAAGGGACACTTGTTTTTGAGCGAAATACGATACCAAGATGAGAAGTCACACACATGAGATGGTGGGTGCTAATCCACAGTAGTCCGACTCTTTTTCCAAGCGGAGTGAGAAAGGACGACGGCCCTGCAAACTAAAATTTCCAGAGTGCCTGCTGGAGATTTGGGTCAAGGACAAATTTTTTTTTGTACTGCATTTTCTCCCTCTGCTTGCATTGGCTTTCTACAGGAACTCTGGATTCCTCCCACATTCCAAAAACATGCACGTTAGTGTTTTTGATCGATTGAATACTTTATTTCAAATATTCTGCTTAAAAGAAAAAAAACATTATCGATTCAAATATCCAATACTGACTTATAAATCGTACAATTCAGTTGAAAAAAACAATCGTCGTTTTGAGAGGTGAGGTTTAAAACAACTACAAATAAAGTTGTGGCACAAGTGTACACGCCCTCTTATTAACTGGGATCCGTGGGATCCGGAACCTTCCAATTCAAGTATTAGTTTGTGGATATTTTGCAGCGCTGCTGTTGCTGGGCCATGTTGAGCCATCCCGATGTGAGCAAATATAGAGCATGGTGGTGATGTGCTGACCGTGGGTAGGATAATCCGTCTTGTGAGGCAACTCTGGGGTCCATCCAGGCTTGAACCAGCAGACCACCTGCTTGCTCAGCATTGTCAACAACACAGCAGGAAGTCAGGGCCAGGCGATGATAAGCAGATTTGGGGGGTACATGTTTGTGTCTGTGAACAGTAGGTCATATATGCACACATTATGTAAATGAGCGATTCTCAACCAGTGTGTCATTAGATATCAGTTGTGGAAATGATTCAATGTCACTTTAGTGGGATGAAAAATGTCTTATGTAGTACGACTAGTGTATCGATGTTCATCTCTCTAAAGTAGTGACATATTGACACAAACAAAATAATGGACTTTTTTTTCCCACTAGATGGCAGAAGGTACATCATTAACTTGTGCATCAACTTTTTGTGACGTTTTTGTTTGGTGATGTGCTATGAGATTTGTTTCAATTGTAAAATATGTGCTTTAAGGCCTTTGTTGGAAAACGCTGATATACAATAAATGATTCCACTCCATGTTATTTCTGTCTCAGGCATTAGCAGCGGATAATCTGGATGTGATCCCTACGCTTTAGTACGTCCTGCAGCTCACGGCTGCAACACACTTCAAGAAAACACTCTTTGTCAATGAAATGGGATTTGCGAAAGTACCATCTGGAGAGGAGGGCAGGAGCCCCTCAGCATGATCCGTGGACCAACCTGGGAAGAAGAGGGTCACAGTCTGTCCCAGGGTAGCCTTAATTCAGCACTCATACAGGATACTTAACACATCTTGGAATTTGGAATAATCTCCAACAATACAGGAGTTTACAGATACAGAAAAATTAAAGGTGTTGGACAAAAAAATTATATTCCTTGTCAGGAAAGTGAGGGGTGGTGGGGGAGCAAGACAAAACTGTATTTTTTTTTTGTTTTTTGTTGTTTTGTTTTTTTGTTTGAAATGGCATTGGGATAACAAAATTCACAAGACTTATTCTGTCAGAATAACAGATAAACCAAAGTAGCGGACAATTGTGAAAATTGGAATATAAGTGAAAACAAAAATCAACCTCCTTACACCCTCAAGCAAAACCAAAAACAAATTCACAATGACAATTCAGTGATGGTGTTGACTCCTTGAAGACATACAACCAACCGACAACGACACTTCCTTCTTGTGGGTAAAGATTTTTGCGACCCCAAAGGAGAAACACTACACAAATCAGACAATACAAATGAACGAAGCAACTGGAGCCGTCATTAACGATATAATATTTGTCCTGCTCATCTAAAACCAGATGTAAGACGCACATACTGTATTTCAAAATGTTTTTGGTATTTCATTTTTATTCTATTATAATCGAGGGAATGCTCCCTCGTGGTCGCGATTGGCTATTGTCGCAAAGGGCTCCATTCAAGACTCTTGACTCTGAGCAGCAGCAGCGCTATGCGAATAGAGTCCTTCCTGCATATCCAATTATATGGAGCAAATTAACTGCCGTCTGTAGTGTGCTACTGATAAATTTCATATTCAAATTACATTATTATTAAATGCAGAGGGTTGGCCTCATAATAAATAAATCCAATCAAAGAATGAATTAGAATTTAAATTAGCTCCTGATATCAGCGCACCAATCCAAACATGTGTCATCTTGTACTGAAGCGCTCGCCCACTCAGGAAATAAGCGTGCACGTACACGTGACTTTGGGCGAGCGGGGCGTGACCAGCACAAATTATCTGTGGGGGCGGGGAGGCTTGCTCCTATGGAGCCAATCAAAGCACCTGCATTTTGACTACTGAACGAACGTACAATGTACAGGTACTGGTGTGTGCCGGCGTAATAAAGACCAGTACAGTACATTAAATGGGCTCTATCATAGAGGCGTTCGTGGCAAGGACATGTTGGAGTTATACAGAAAATACTAATAACAATCGGTTAAAATATATATTCCAATAAAAATCGCCAGGGAGCACATAAAGTATAAGGGTCATTCAATATATAAGATGATTTTTTCTGTGTAAGGACTTCTAATACAGATAGAAGCGTACTTTTTTTAGCAGTAGTCTCTCTCAGCACTGTAAAACACTTTTTCCATCTGTGCACAAGCTTCCATATTCCCTCAGCGTAAAAATCTTTGGACTGATCTCTCAGCCAGTTGCTCACAACACTTTTGACTTCTCGTCAGGAGTCTAGCTGGAGCATTTTGTCCTAGCTGCAAAATTTTAACACTGGACATGGGAAGACCAAAAAGCAATTTGTTGCAATAATGAAGTCGAGACCTAAAAAGCACATGAATTATGGTTTCTGTGTGACCAGGAAATAAAATGGGACGTATCTTAGCGATATTGCGAAGGTGAAAAGAAGTGCAGTTCTATTTATATTCATCATGAACATTTGAAAAGAACGTTGAATCAAACATCGAGGTTTTTTGCTGAATCACTTTGGGTAATCGCACATTTATCGCGGCTGAGAGTGGTGTCCTTGAATAGGTGCCGATGCCGCGCATCGCCAATAATCATCACCTCCGTTTTAGTTTTTTAGCCTGTTTTACTGCTCCTTCCCACCACACCCAGAGAGAATGAAGTTGCCTCTCATGAGTGATAATACTGTATATCGAGTAAAGAATAAAAGGAGTCAATTTTTCTTTGTTTTCAGTTTTATTTGAGGTGCAACTGTCTAGTGCAAATTGTAACGTCACATTTGTGATGGGCTGTGGAACATGCAGAAAACATTGACATACTTTCTACCAGCCATTCCATCTGCCAAGTGTGTGTATGTGTGTGCGTGCAGCAACACAGATGCTTGGCTGAACAAAATGACTTAAATTAGAAAAAAAGAAATAAAAGAAAAATATCCTGATCGCCTCAACAAAACAATGTGACAAACATTGTCAAACAAAAACAGTCTGTATCGTTTTGAGTGTGACGATACAGTCACAGTAGGAGAGACAGTGTTCAGCTTGGAGGTAACTAAACCTCGTCGGTTTCCATCCTGAGTGCTGACATCACAGGTACTTCACAACCTGGTAAACCATAGATAGATATATATCTATATATCTATATGTATATAGATATACACGCACACACACACAAATATATTTACAGGAATAAAATAACAGAAGATTATATATGTATCTATGGTTAGAAACCAGGCACTTTGCAGAATTGGAAATGTTTTCATCCGTACAAACCTACAAAGAGTATCCTTTTCCGCTCCATTATTTATCTTGTTTACATTACTAGGACATTAAATTACATCAACAAGAGCGAACAGAAAAAAAATCCTAACCATTCTCCAGGTTACCCTATAAAAACAACATTGATTCCCTGCATAAATATTGAACTTCTCTTCCAACAGGGGAGGGTGCCTTGAGGGTGGAGAGGGCAATGTGGAGACGCAGGAGAAGAACACCGAGCCCTCCAAGTGAAAAGTGAGGTGCCGAATTCAATGCAGTTCATCTTTTCTCTTAGACTTGCCCCTAACCTGAAGCAAGAGGACTGGAAATGACTGCTTCTCAAACCCAGGGGGCAGGGGTTTTGTTGCAAGTCCTCCATTATAGTTCATCCAACGTTAGCAGCGACATGTGCATGTGGAGAAAAAAAAAAAAAAAAAGGAATGTGCTGGGTAGCGGTGGAGGGCTGACATTGGCACATGTTCGACACTGAATGCTTGCAGGCTTCAATTCAAACTTGGTGCATTGCCCCCCTCCCCCATCCATCACCATGACAACTGTGATTGTCTAATCAGGTAAAAGTTGCAAAACAAGGCAGAATAAATTAAATGTGCAACAAAAAATTGAAGGGGATTCCTCGAGATGGTGGCATAGCTGGGGGCGGGGGTGCCACAGTATGGAGATCCTTCCTCTTCACGCCTACGAGCCCGAGTTCTGCGCAGAGGGGAGGGATTGCGCACTTCCGACCGAGCCCGGCACCTGAGGCTGCAGGGCCGTGCCAGTTGGGGAGCTACCCGTCTGGACCTGGGCCTGAAACTGAGCCATCTGCTCCGGGCTGGCTAGGGTCTTCAGCAGGTTGTTCTCTTGCTCCAGTTGAGTGTTGCGCTCCATCAGCTCCTTGATTTGCTCCTTGAGCACCTCCACTTCCTCGCGCACAGCATACATCAGGTGACTCTTCACCAGGTCCTGAAGGAGGGAGGCAGGGGTACTCATTAAAACGACTTCATCCAGCATTGTGTAATGACAAAGCATCAGATGAGCAGCTACAGAGAGATAAACGACAAAATCATGACCAAAACACCAAAGGATCAAAAGTAATGGTCAATTCTGGAACTACACCAGGAATATATACAATTGAAAGTTGGCTCCTAACAGAGACCTTGACTATAAATAACACTGGTCAACAGCAAATTTTAAATCAGAGATGACTTTGTGTGTCCCTTAACATATTATTGATGCTGATTTTAAAAAATGTCCTTAGTTTTTGTGGAGCACATCAGATTTTGAGAGATTTCTTTGACCTTTAAAAGCTTGTGCAATACAGATTTTACCATGCGTTGTAATTTATAGCTATGGACTAAAAAGCGCACCTAAAAGCCTTCCATTTTCTTAAAAGCTCACAGCGCGCCTTAAAATATGATGCGCCTTGTGTATGGTCATTACGGTAATATTCAGACCCCAAAATGGCTCCTTGCTAGAGACATGCTTACAACGCAGAGTTCAAACTTAAGTCGATCGGTTACACAGTTGAACACGGAAATAGAGCAGCGGCAAGAGAGTTCAATGTTAACGAGTCAATGTTATAACTTGCTGTTGGTTAAGTGAACTGTGTGGCTGCTTTATTAAATAAGTTTTCCTGACATCTGATTGTTCTGTTGGCATTTCCTTGAGCGTAGCTCCATCTAGTGGATGCATTTTAGATTGTGTCTTATAAAGCTGTGCATCCGATGTATGAAAAAAATTATGAAATAGGCCATTCATTGAAGGTGCGCCTCATAATCCAGTGCGCCTGTTAGTGTAGAAAATACGGTCATAAAAATATTTTTTTCAGGATGTTGGCTCTTCATATTCAAGTATACTTGCATGAAATATGATTTTTTTGAGTCAGGATTATGCTAAAATATATTTATGTTCTCTACTAAACCGTGACATTCAATTTTGAAAATGTCCGTTTTATTTCTATGGATTCCCTTGGACGATTTCCAACTTCTGAAAATTCACAGAAATTACCCCCGCCCACATCTCACCACATTCCTCGCATGCATGACACAAGTGTATGGGCCGATGAAGCCGGACCACCAAGCATCACCGAGTCGATGATGACGATGATGGCCAAAGGGGGATTAACGTGTTATAATCTGAGAGTATCCCCTCCTCATTGTGGAGCCACGGAACAAAATGTCCCTGTGCCGAGTGGGAGGAGCCAATCCTAGCCAAGTTATTTATACCGAAAGGGGGGGAGGCTGCTGCCTGCCTAGCAACATGCAGCTGAAGAGGAGAGGATGGGGATGGGGAGGAGGGGATATAGCGTGTGAACCTAGCCTCACATCATCTGTCCAAATCGTGACAGTGCATGGCCAGAATCTGATTCTTCCCTCTTTTCGTGGGAGCCTTCTTCAATTAAGATGCATTTACCCAAGTTTTCCTACAGGTTTGACGCACAGATTCCCATGCTCAGTGCAAAATGTCCCGATTAAGATGACGAGGTAGGCCAAATAACGATTTTAAGGAATCGGCCCCATTTTTTCGACTGAACTACCCCAAGGTCAAAACACGACTAGGAATCAAACGGCCGGACCTACTCGGCATTACGTAACGCCAGTGGCAGCACACACGAGCGAGATAATGGCGTGGATAAGGACAACTTACCATCGCTTGCTCAATCTTGTTGTCAATGGCCACGACACTTGCACCCGAAGAGCTGAAACACAATTTAAAGCACATCGTCAAATGGATGGTCTGAGAGGCGCCAGTAGCTTATGACGCAAGAGACGATGATTGTTGCGGCAGGTCACGCGACAAAAGAGCAAACCGCACAAAACCAGCGTAGCAAAAGCAAGCGCTTAGTGCTCATTTCCGCGCAAATTATCATGATTATTATTATTATTATTATTAGTTACCTCTTGTCAAGCCTGACCGACGCGCTCTCCTTGCCGAGTACAGAGGACAGAAACGAGATGGAGAAATTGCGCAGTTGGCAAACGCCAAGGTCCATCGCCACCGTGTAACACTGTGAATTCATGCTAGCCCGTCCATCAACGCGTCACCGCGGCTCGGCCCTACTCATAGGTCGTCCGGCGGTGCAAATGTTGAACCGGAGTGCATTCTGTACCTCCGCGGCCGCCGAGACTGAGCACAAAGACTGAGGTGCAGCAAGGGGAGGGAGCTGCCTAGCTGCAAGATGCATGCGGGGAGAAACAGCCTAGCAGCCACCTGATTGGCTGGAAGCTAGGCTCATTTGCATAACAAAATCCGTGGCAGCCCGGGTTTGGAGGAAAGAAGGATCCTAAATGCTTCTTTTGATACAGTCCATCTGATAAAGATATCGAGCACACCTATAACAGTCTAAAATACACCATTGTGACGCATTCTGCTATTTTTATGCAAAAACAAGAACGCAGGAGATGGGAGGAAACAAAAGAGTAATTTAAGGAAAATACCACCACCTCCTGTTCATTTATGCTCATAACAATCGAATAAAGCAAATCAATTTTCCCCATTGAAATACAGTAATGTGAAAATCCATCAATCGTTTCTTACCCCCCCCAAATAAAAACCACCACAATCTTTTATTCCACATGTTGATAAAGAGAAAATAGCGCTGCGTTGTAACTATAAACAAAGGAATAGATTGTAAAGAAATTAACTGGTTTCATAAATTGTAATTAAACCCAAAGCTCCAGCTTAGATTTGTGCGTTGTCTAATTTTTAAGCAGCGTGGCCTCATGAATGACGTAGGAAGCCTGGTCTAGTCTGGTTGGACAATACTACACAGTTGGTTGTGAACGTTTCTTGTTGTATTTGTGTTCGTTTGATTGTCCAGTTCAATAAACAGTTGAAAGTGATTCAAAGACTGAGGTGGCATATCTAAACTCTGACTCATAACTCAACACTAAACAATTTATTTATTAATATATTTTTAATCGACTAAGAATGGCTCCATTTTTTTAAAAAGCGGGGCCACACCAAAGTCAAATTACCAATGTCAGTTCATTTTATTGATACTGTATAGCACATGATCTGCATAGTTAAAATCCAGTCACAAATGTTTTACAGTTAACCAGTGGTGTAGTGGGGATTTTTTAAGTGGATGTACGTGATTCTGGGATGTTCTACATATACATACAGAACATCAATCATAGGCTACAACACCAGTTGAACTAACGTTAAATTTAATGTTTTACTACTCCAAAATAATCACAGGCCAACGTTATTAAGCATTACTCGCATTAGAACAATGATCAACAAACATTTCAATAAAAATTGAATGTGGCGTCGGGAGAAGTGGGTGGACGGCGTACCCCCGTGTACCACACCCACTACACCCCTGCAGTTAACCAAAATAAGTATGACCAGAAAGCCTACCTAAACAAAAGCTGTTTAAAAAATGTCTGCATAGGTGGAAGCTCTTCGCTCAAATGGAATTCCATTTGAGAATTTGGGCTCTATCACCTTGAGTTTTGGCCCTTGTGTGATTAATAGTTAGCAGCAGTGAGCAGAAAGCAGTGACCGAACAGAACAACGGACTCAAAGTGAGGTATGCAGGCTCTATTTAGGGCAGGGGTCGGCAACCCAAAATGTTGAAAGAGGACCAAAATAAACAAAAAACAAAATATGCCTGTAGCCGCAAAAAATAAAAAGCCTGATAATGAAGGCAACGCATCCTGTACGTATCTATATGAGCTATATTAGCCTGCTATCAACATAACTAAGTTGGCTACAAATACACGACGAGCATTCATGATTAAAAGTTTTTTCCCCCCTGCAGTTCATCCTGTAGAGGAGGGGTGTCCAAACTTTTTTGACGGAAGATCTACTTTACGAACAGCCAACCTCCTGCGATCGACCCGTTACTGCACACGCGCGCATACGCACACACGCATTCCGTGATGAGCAACAGCCATAACGGCCGCTAAGATGAACGAGGCACGGGACGCACTTTCGCAGCGTGCTAACTGTCGTAGCTCTCGTGTACCATTTAAAAATGCTTTTCTTGGCCGCCCAGATTCCCATTCTTAGCAAGTACCCTCGGTGAGTTGTACATGAAAGGCAGCTGTTTTTTTGTTTGGTTTTTTTTTTTTTTTTTTTTTACACACACAACAGCCCCCTGACTGACATCCCGCCCTGCTAATAGAAACGTGTGTCGCAGGCTATTACGCAAATATTCGTTGACTAAATGTTGACATTTAATATTTATTCGACACATTTTTACAGCATCGGAAAACGTTAATGTTTGTGTCATGTGTGTCCTCTAACAGAAACCACATTAAAACAAAAACATATATTTCCCTCCCATCTTTTTCCATTTTCAAACATTTTTGAAAAATCTCTAGGGAGCCATTGGGGGGCGCTAAATTGCCGCATGCGGCTGGCTCAAGAGCCACGTGTTGCCGACCCCCGATTTAGGGGAACACGAAAGAATAACTGAATTAAATATAACTAAAATGTACAATATTTAACATATGGAGAAAGATAAATTATATAAGAAAGAAAGCTTTGTATGCAGCTTGTCTGGACTCATTTTTAATCATTTTTTAAGAAATAATTTTCATACAGTGCTTTTTCTACTTTTCAAGTACAGTTTTCAAGTCCACTTTTATCACAGAATTTTAATGTTGGTCATGATGCTGGTTCTTGGGCAAATGGACTTTACTTCGTATTTTTGAGGTCGTATTTAGCATAAAAAGTTAAAGCAGAACTTAATTGGGGCATAAGACCACATGCAAACTAAATTTAATGAAATATTCAAGTGTAAAGACCTGATGCAAATTGCTGAGTAATGGACTAAAGTGAATGAAGACATGGCAACAGGACATATGTTTTCCTTGATTTTTATGCCATTCAAAACCACTTTACTCAGAATGCTGACTACCAAAACAATTTGTAAGCTAATTAACAGCAACAGAATCTTAACATGACAGTGGAAACAGTAAAACAGCAGAAATAAGGGACTTGATGCCAAACAAGCTGTGACTGATTTGCACAATCAACTTCCCAAGGAGCTGATCAGATCACAAAACAAAACAGTTGGAAAGCCTGATGACATCACTCAGATGCTTCACATCAATCACTGCTATCACAATGGCAACACTTTTGACAAACCGCACAAAAAAGAGATGAAGTGGATTGAGTAGCTTTGGGAGGAAGCAGTTCAACCACAAGGACCAATGTCAACCCATGTTGCATCACAAGAAATGGATTTCATCTGCACATCTGACCAATCGATAAATTTGAATCTGGCCAGGCTAATATGTGACCTGGCACTGCTTCTGCTGCTGCTGCTCAACCGTACCTTGGATTGGCTGACAGAAGAACAAACACAAAGAAGCTTTTTGCCTTAATATTTGAACATGTGCCACTTCTCACACACACTCCCATCAAACTCTCCAAAACCTGTTTTTTCATTGAAATTGCATTTTTTTTTAAATCTCGCACAGGTTCGAGAGGACAATTTGATCTTTGTAGCGACACAGAAAGTTGAGGATAAAAATGTGCTTATTACCATATACAATTGACCCGTATTCTGCCATGAATAAGAACAAAAAAAAACCCACAATTGACACTGCCAGTATTTTTATTGAAGTTGAAGTAAAATGGTAACTATATCACAAACTATGGTTGCAAAACACTTCAATATTGTTTGAAAACCATCTTAATTTCCCTGAAAAATAAGTGTCAAAGATAATTTGATTTTGTAAAAAAACAAATTTTGCATCAAACCAACTCTCCACTCATAGACTCTGTAACTTCTGCCAACAACCCAGGCTAAACTTCGCTCCTCCCCAAGCCCCCAAATAACTCTGAAGCTGAACTATATCACTGAAACACACTTGTCACCAATTACTACGTCTCTATTCACCAGATTGTTGGCGCCATCTTGTGCTATCTTTAGGGCATTCAACTGAAAGTGTGAAAAAAACAACAAAAAAAATGTTGTGCACATAAATCATTGGTGATAATTTCCACAGGGAAAAAAAAACATGACAATCATAAATAGCAAACCATGAATAGATTGGGGGATGGTGGGTACTGTATATTGTATCTTAATGCTTTGTTGAGCCACTAGTGGGCACAGCAACAGTGGTGCTAACATGGAAGCTGGAACACAATGTTCAACTGTGCTGGTAAGTGAACTAAGATGGTGATCCAAGCTTGCAAATGGAAAAGAGTGAACATCAGACAGGACAGGGTGCTCAGGAGTTTGTGTTGACACATTCTGGCAAGGAGTAGACTTTGAAAGCCCACCCGACATAATTCCAGTTGAACACCACCACCGCACAACAAAAGAACTCCACCGTTACCTCTTCAGATGCTTCTCCAGTTCCCAGAAAAGAAGCTTCATGGCCATGGCGTCGCGACCCTGCGCTCCTCCGACCTCGGCCAGCCCCTTTTCTCTCATTGATGCTCAGAGTAAAAACAAACACTATGTCCATGTGGTGGGCCCCCACCCGCCACCCGCCACCCTAACCCAAAACGAGCACAAGCACCACTGCGCCTCCTCCGTCCTCCAAACCCGACCCCATAAACCCCTCAGTGCGTCACATTGGGAAAGTCTGACCAACAACGTAGACCCGGAATGGAGCTGAGGAAGTCGGGGAAGGGAGCGGGAGTGCGTGTGGACGAAAGCGCTGCGGTGCCCCCTACGGCGCCCGTGTGCCTGAATCCAAGGGTGGTAGCATGATGCGTAGCTCTAAAAGGGTG